ATCAATCCAGTTGCATATCGTTTACATCTACAGGAGTCAATAAAAATTCATCCAGTATTCCACGTGTCTCTTCTTGAACCATACAAGACAGTGAACATACCAAGAAGATGACAAGCTCCACCTCCTCCTATAAAAGTGGATAATAATGAAGAGTTTGAAGTAGAAGAAGTCTTAGATTCAAGGCGACGCCGAAATAAATTAGAATATCTTGTCCATTGGCACGGATATGGTATTAGTGAACGCACATGGGAGCCAATAAAGAATCTTGCAAATGCAGCAAAGGCGGTGAAGGCTTTTTATCGACGACATCCATCAAAATCAAGATAAAAATCTTCTTTATAAAAGAAACAACATCTAGGCAAGATAACATTCTACTTTCAATTCTTGTTTGTAGCTTCTTTGTAGTAGCGATGCTCAAGAGATGGAGAATCAACAACCAGCAGATTCGACTCAAGAGCCTTCATTTGCTGATCTGCCGGACAAGACATTACGATTGTCACAACCTTCAAGACGACACAATCGAGATGAAGATCTTCAAGAACGACATATTCTTCTTCGAATAGATGGCGAGATACAACGTGTCTGATATCACAATTTGGAAAGGGACTCCCGATGTTTGGTGATTGTGCTAGAGGTAGGAACAACTCCTGATGGTGTTCCAAATATTCTATTCGAAGGAAGTTATGAAGGCCTCAACAATGATCAAATAACTGGGTGGTCTTCCCGCCCTAGTATGGGACACTACCGATGGTTGAGAGGCCCTATCAATCATCTTCAAAGAGAACAAAGATCAGAGTATGTGGCGAATACAATTTGTCGCATCATAGATTTCCTCGACATATGATGACTGCTCCTCATCGAACTCGTCTCTAGAAGGGGGGGTAATGTCACAGATATAATCATAATTATAGTAATTACATATATAAATAAGTAGAAGTATATAAAAGTAGGTAAAAGTAAGTAAATTCTATAGTATTTAATATGGAAGCTTCCTAGAAGCTTCATAAATGCTGTTTTGACTTCTTAGATGTCTTTAATTGACTTTTTGGATTAGAAACGTGGTCAACAAGTTGGCCATGTGCCACACATGTCGTTAGCTTGAAGATCAAGCTAACTATATGGCCCACACGTAGAAGAACTTGCCTTGTAAGTCAAGGCATGTGTCTTACAAAGTCAATACATATTGGAGGTCATATAGAATGTCGCCACGTAGTCCCTAGTTAGATAGTATATATAGAGACAAGAGTGAAGGCTTCTTCACTCTTGTCAATTCCTTTCTTGATTCTAGTCTAGTTTCAAGGGTCTCTAGTTTTCTTGTCTTTTGGCAATAGCCATTCTAGTTTCTCTTTCAATATATATACTTATTTATATATATTTTGTTACCTCTCTTTGAGTGAAGGCTCACTTGTTTGAATTATTTTTTCATCGAGTTCTTGTCCTTGACAGTCACTTATTGCTTTTAGATTGCAAGTGTTGACTTCAACTTCTTATAATTCTTTCATCCTAGCTTAGAATTCATCAAAGAATATGTAAAAGTGTAGCCAAAAAAATACTTTCTCCAACCTCAATTGTTGATCCTTCATTGCATTTTGTATGTATGCGTTATATCCAAAAGAGTGATAGTAGCTACAAAATTAACACCTTAACTTTGGATATCTATATTTTTTTCATAAAATCTCGAAATTATACAATATTTGTACCAAAATTATAGCCAAAAATCTAAATTCTCTTACCTTAGCTTCTTAAATTCAAATTTTCTAAAAAGAATAATCCTCATCCCTACTAAGGTCTTAGACAACCTCCTTGAAGTCCACTAAGTATGCCTTTAAATAAATAGCAATAGAGATTTTCATCATCCATCTCCATTCATCTATATGGATATCCTAATTATTCTTTTTGCTACCAAAATCCCTTTGTAATCTTTTTTTTTATAAGATTTATATAATATATGCCTTAAATACTAAATAAATAAATAAATTTAAGAATCATCAATGTCTAATAAAAATAGCTCTAAATATATAAAACTATGATCAATATAAAATCAACTTCAATAATAGCTCTTTTAAACTAACCATTTCAAAGTAATAATCTAACCATATTTTGTAACTAACTAAAATCTAATAATGTGGCTCTTACTATATTATATAATAAATTTTATATTAAATATTTATAAGCATTACTTTCACATAGTAGCCAAACCACAATATGACAATGCTTTATTATATGGGATGATTTTCTACCTGAAAATATACCATATACTTAGCTATAGATAATTTAGCTATAACTTATTAGACAAGTTTCAATAAGTGATATATTCTTATTAGAGAGGCCAAATGAATACAATAGTATCTAAAAATATTCTATTGATAAAATCTTTTTATATTTAAGAAGATTTATATATAGGGCTTTCTAAAGCATCTAGAAATATCCTAATATCCTTTGCTATACTAAGTCATAACTAAATCATTTGTTAATATGTTCAAAGAAAATGTATAATCTCTTTACAAAAATCCATATTTATACCATAATTTTTCTATAGCTCCATATCTTCATCTTTAACATGTATATAAAGACTTGGCTCTTAAAAATTCCTTTATTTTGCATAAAATGCCCAAATTGTAGTAATACCTTTTCAAAATATTTTTCTTCTACAAGGATTTTTTTCTCCCTAAACTTTAGAAATTCATATATCTTGATCCAACTATTCAATTTTTTTCAAATTTCTAGATAATATAAAATTTATTTTTAAGCTTTACCATAAAAAAAATAAACTATAAATCTATTACAGATCGTTTGGCATCTTAGATATTCTAGCAATTATTTTAAATCCTAATTTACAAGTATTCAAGTACTATTTTCTCCATATCTCAAAAATCCAAAATTCAAATGCGACAAAATTTATGTATAAAGTTTGATAACATGATAATACATATTCTTAGAAATTTGTAGCTGAAATCTTGTCAAATTTCTCAAGATATAGTTCTAAATATAACCAATAGTAAGTTAGGTCACTTACCACCCTTAAATTGCAAGCATTGACTTCAACTTCTTATATTTCCTTTATTATAGCTTAGAATTCATTAAATAATGTATAAAAAGTGTAGTAAAAAAATTCATCTCTCTATTTTTAGTCACCAAACTTTTATTTCTTTCTACATACATGTATTATGTCCAAAAGAGTGATAGTAGGTATAAAACCAATACCTTAACTTTGAGTGCCTATATTTCTTTCATAAAAACTCCAAATTATCCAAAATTTGCACCAAAACCAAAGCAAAAAATCTAAACTTTTTAATCTTAGCCTCTTAAGTTTAAATATCTTCTCAAAAGTAACTCTAATCCTTCTTAAGGCCTCGGATAGTCTCCTTAAAGCCCATTGAGCATGCCTTTTGGCCAATCGCAATAGAGTTTTTTATCATCCATCTCCATTCTTCCATATGGATGTCCTAACTACTTTTGCTACCAAAATTCTTCTCAAATCCTTTTTTCTTATAAGATTTACATAATATATGTCCTAAACACCAAATAAAAGAAACAAAATAAGATTTGAAGAGTCACCAATGTCTAATAAAGATATTTCTAAACATATAAAATTATTATTAAAATAAAATCAACTTCAATAATAGCCCTTTTAAACTAACCACTACAAAGTAGTAATCTAATTATATTTTATAACCAACTAAAATCTAATAACATATCTTTCATTACATTGTATAGTAAATTATATATTAAATATATATATATATATACACACTATTTTCACATAGTAGCCAAATCACAAGACAACAGTGTCCTGAAGGCAATGAAGTGGTACTTGCTGTTGTAAAAAAGCAACAATAAAAGTTTTGATGTTCTCATGTATTACATTTAAACTCAATTCCTATTTTTGTAAGGGATATATTTTTGGAAGAACATCCTTTTAATATGATAGGATATCTTTGCAAGTTGTGAAATTATTAGGGATATAATTGAGAATTTTTCTTAAAAAATCAATATATCATTGAAAACTAATATAAGATTTATATCATTGCTAATTCTGTACATGCAAATAAAATTATATAGAAATATTTTAAATTTTTAACAAACTTCATTTGTATTTAATATTTAATATTTTATTTTTATTTTATTATACTTCTATATCATTTACTAATGATCTAACTAATTCAAAAAATATAAATTTATTTTATGTAAAAATTAATTAAATTTACATTTTTTAAAATAAATTATTGTCATGAAAGAAATATGTAAAAAAATGGATTATATTACATATATAAATGTAGCAAAGTTTGTAATAATCAGACTATGAAAAATAAATCATTGCTTATCAGGACTAATTACTTCAAAATATTTTTTTGTATTACAGTGGCAAATATAAGTTCTGTAATAGAATTGACTCAGATTTGAAGCATTGTTAAGTTTGTTATTATTTAAAGAACTAGTAGAAAGGGATTGATTTATACATAGTAAGGTTTCCATGGGTTTTTATGAATAAAATCTAAATTGCATAACACCTTGATAGTGTTCATAATTTTTATAATTGTCTTATCTTCATATCAACAAGACATTTTTCATGCTTTTTTTCTTCCAGTAACAATAAAACAATTTGGAAATTTTAAAATCCCACATAAATTATTCTACTCTAGGATCTTAAGTAATCACCTAATATTGTAAATATCAATGAAATTAAGAGAATTGCAACTACTTCTCTGAGGCTTAATAAACATATGTAATGAAATCATAATTAAAAACCAAAAGCTAATGGAATGTTATAAACAGAGGAGGCCAAAAAAGAAAAAAGAAAAGAAAAGAAAGGAAAAGATAAGATTTGTTTGACGTAAACAATTACAACAAGGGATTTGCAGTACAGGGGGAATCAGGGCGCGGAAAAATAGTGCACATGGGAACAATGTCATCTGGGGCATGAGTGGGCGGGAGGGCCTGTGTCTGTGAAGATGAAGATGATGAGTTGGGGCGGAGCCAGATGGCGAATGATCATCTGTTTAGGGCCACCCGCTGAAGCCTCCTCCTCATCACCCTGTGAAGTCACTCGTCACTGCTCTTGTGCGTCTTGTAGTTATTTCCTTCCCTCGCTTCTCAACCCATCAATCTTCGTCATTGTCGTCGTCGTCGTCGTCTTCTTCTTCTTCTAATTCTTCTTCCTCCTCACCAACATGGCTGTGACCCACCTGTTCCTTTCTTGCCGTCTGCATTCTCTGCCCTCTGCTGGCGTCACCGTCCCCACTCCCCTCCTCTCCTTCCCTCGTCGTCTGTCTCCCCCATGCCCCCCCTCTCTCCAGCCTCCCCATCCTTCTTTGGTGCTTCTCTGTCAATCCCGTCTTCCTTCCCCTTATTTCCGCTCTTCTAAACATGATAACTTTATTGCGGGTAACGTAGCTTCGGACGATCAGATTCAAGGGGACGGCTCCAGCCCTCAGCCTCCTGTTCCCGTATGTCACCTTGCTTAATTCCACTCATTCATTTCCACTATTCCATTGCCAATTAGGTCGCAAATTGTGCCCTCTAGTTTGACAACTTTTCTACCCCAATTTGCGCAGGACCCTAAGCAGGAATGGCCTATTTTGGAGCAATGGAATGTGCCATGGGATGGAACTACAACATTAGTGGGAATGCTATCCTGGCTCTTCAGGTACATCATGGTTTGTATGCGACTCTGCTAACCACTTGCAATTTGTGCACCCATTTCAGAGGATGTGTTAAACGGATTGTGCCGTGAATTACACGGAAAGTGACGCGGAAGTAGTGCTTGGAATGGCTTGGAACGATGCGTTCCGAGTGTTTCAGCTTTGGCGTTCATGGTCTGAGTTCGTTCTGGTAGTGATCAATTCAATTCTTATCGGTAGTTCGCTACATTCATTCGACCTTGTATGTGTCTTTGCTTTGAGATTCTTAACACGGTAATATCTGGTAAATGGCAGTTTTTTATTGACCGGATTAGCTGTTTCTGTTGGAGCTGCGCAACTTGGCATAGGACGGCGGGAGGTCTTAGACCTGGATGAGCAGGCTACTTTCATACTCATTCACCAGCTGTAGGTTTGCTCCTTGGCTTTGGACTAACGAAATGCATTCAGTCCCAACTCCATGTATGATTTCCAACAATGATTAATTACATCTTATGGCTTGATGCTCGATATCGGTGATACTTCTAGTATTTCATGGTTTCAGCTCATTCCTGCTGATTTTGGCATTTCTTTTGGTAAGTATCAAATCTGAAACTATCGGCGATTATAACCAGAAAGCTAACTAGGAAAAATGTGTCAGAGCCGAAACCATTGCAGGGCTTGGAGCCATTTCGTTAGTGCTACGCCGATACAAACCTCTTCCTCCACAATTTTTTTCTTATGGTTCGTACGTGCCCTTGTTTTTTTCTTCGCGTCCTTGATAATACTAGTGGAAAACTCATCTCCAATCTATATGCCTGATTGTGACTGCTTACTGCCTGATCCTGATATGGAGATGCAATTGACGACAGGCTTTAGTAACCCGTTCGATTTACGTCGAGGTTGGGTCCTTTATGGAGGATTGGGTATAGTCGCGGCTACAGCCTCTGTAGTTGCAGCTAGCACGTTGGTTGTGAACCTTACAGGCCAACCGCCGCCTCGAGAGGTGAGTTTACCACATCGGATAGTAAAACGCGACCAAATGTATTTGGCATTTAAACTCGTACATACGTTAGCAATGCCGTTTCTGCAATGTGTATGTCACCGGTTTTCTTATTCAAACGCACTGTATGCAGAAGTATCTTTCACCTGATACCAGTGCAAAATAAACACAGCATTATTTTAAATGGAAAACATTCGCTAAATTCGATTTCAGGATTTTGCAATGTTATCCATCCTGTGCCTGGATATTAGCGCAAGAAGTTCGTTGAAGCACTGAGCCCTTTCCTGAATCCTCCCATTTCCTTCGTTAATGCGCTACAATCGTATATGTCGATTTTGTAGGAAGCAGATGCACTCTTACAGTTACTACCTATCATTGGTGCTTCACCGACCAGGTATTCTGTGATAAATCACCCTGAATTCAAATTTATTCCTATGTTTTCTCTTGCTTACTCTATGTGCATAATGTTCATCACCTGGTCATCACATTGTCTATTTTGCCTTCATTCGTGGTTAACAGATTTATCAATAAACTGATTTTTCTCAATATTATAAGTGTTCTTCAAACCCGTAACACTACTTCAGTTCAATTCTAACTCCTTTCACGCATACAAGGGGTGTCAAAGCTCCTCCCTATCACACGGCTTATTCATGTTTGTTGGTTGGATTGATTTGTACAAAAAGTCATCACAATATTTGACTTACAGCTATCATTTGGGTGTTGACAGCACAGCATCGTTGATCATTGTAACTGGTGTGCTGGCACCGCTGCTTGAGGAGACAGTTTTTCGAGGATTTTTAATGACGTCTTTAACCAAGTGGTATGAGTGGTCTATCTTTTTTCTGAGACAATTAGGTGAATGTAGGGAGGTACTACTTGGACATCTCACTTCATCCACAAAGCTGTTTCGTTTGTAATCATAGTTCTCAAGTAGTGATGTAAATTATGTGGAATTGGAGCTCTTCTGAATGAAAACCTTGAATATTACATCGTCATGATTTGTTTGTGACAGGGTTTCCACACCTGTGGCTATTGCTGTCAGCGCGTGTGCATTTGCAGGGGCTCATTTGACTCCAGGAGAATTCCCTCAACTTGTAGCTCTTGGTAAATTCCTGTGATCACTCTTTTCATTCCACTATCTCCCGGACTTATTACCACCTGATTTGTACGATTTGGTGTCGATTGTATCATGATCAGATATTTTTATTGCTTAGAATTTCATATGATATGAAATGTAGTGTTTTGATGAAGCCAAGGGACACCCGAAGCCCACTTTAGAACTTTTACACATGATCTTGTCAGTAAGTTGTGAATTTTTCTAAGCCAATAATGTCATGTAGAGATGAGTGCAATCATTATCCAATGTTAGACATTTTAATTCTACCTAGAGGTAACGGCTTGAAGCAAGTGTCTGTTTTTATTGCATTGCAGGAATTGTGTTGGGGTTGGCTTATGCACAAACGCGAACTTTGATCACTCCTATGCTTATACACTCACTATGGAACTCGGGAGTGATTATACTTCTCACGATCTTACGGGTATGTTAGTTCTGAACGTTTTGGTTGAAGTAGAAAATCAATATCATTGGACACATTGTGTGCAAACAATAATGTATCACATACCGTGCAACTAAAATCATTGTAATGTTGTCATTTACAACACTATCGTACACATTACATACTTAAGAAGTGATACATGTTTTAGTAAGATTATATGAGACCTTATGTTAAGTTAATGCGGGTATGTCTAAACTCAACTGCATTTTTTGTCCCTTGCATTAATCCTTCCGTTAGGCAAAACCAAGATAAGGACAAACTTGTAACAACTGCGTCTTCATTAATGGATGATGCTTAAATACCTGTGCAGCTTCAAGGCTATGATATCAAGGAGCTCCTTTGATTTCAACGACCTCGTACTCATCATGGCCTTGCAGTGTAATTTCTGCAACTAATTTCTGCATCCACTCCCTGGTGTTGCCCAGCTTCCACATCAGGTATGAGTGTAGAGTAGATAGTTCCACAAGTTTAGCACATGACAACATTTCAAGTTACAATTGGCTGTGACATTCAAATTTACAACTCATTCTGAACTATTTGCATTTCCATTTTAGCCTAAGAGTTAAGCTAGGGTACTTAGGTGAGCTTGCGAAACACTTAATTACCTTGCAGCTTGGTACATGTTCTTCAAACTTGGATGCTGTTTTCAATGATGACGAAACGAATCTCTTAGTTCATTCACTTAGATAGTGTTGGTCGTAAGAAAAATAAGCGCATTGGAAGGCAGTGTACAACTATTTTTAAACATTTGTTACTTATGAGGTACACATTCTCAACACATCAGAGTCCAAAAAAATAGGAGGATCGTATCAATTGCGAATCCAAATAGAAAGCAGCTATTCTCATCAGCCATCTCAACGACAAGCAGCGGATGCTAACGTGCATTTACTTAACTTATAACAATACATTCACTATTCTTGGTATGTTAGGAAAATCATGTTTTGAACATCTGCCAAAGTTCCCCAGCGAAGGAACTCGCCCCAAGTTCGTTCCAGAATCCTAAACCCTTAATCGCATGTCTACGACATCGATCACATGTCCACCCCAACAACAACAAAACTTTCAACAAATACAGAAGCAATCCATCAAACTTCCAAGGTTCTCTAGTGCTGGGTGTCTGGATTATTGTAAAAGTGGACAGCAACCCCAGAGGAGATGATCTAACCAGGTAAAATCGACAACACTCAGTCTGGGAAATAGAGTAAGGCGGCAGAAAATACGGTTCAATACTTTCACAGCAATTGTCAAAGAGGTGATCATGGGTGCAAGCAATGATCTCATTGCCTTCCTAGGTGATATTCATATTCTACATCATTTGCCCAGTCATGTCGAACCCAAACTCGTGGTTCATTTTCCAGCGATCTACATGTCATCACAATAAAGAATAGGCAGTCTTCCTACTGTACCAGAGAACAGCTAGTGTTGTAGTCACTCTTATGCGGGTCTTACTAGTGACACTTTTCTTGCAAATCATATGTACCTATATCCTGCGACTCGTCACAAATCCAACACTATATCTAATCTATCTCTTTAGAACGTTTCCGAACATCTATAAAAGTCCATTGTTGCAAGGACAAATCATCACACGGACGCCCAAATGAGTCTTATTAACTTACCTCTGTAGTAAGCAGGAAATTGACCTCAAGATCAAGTCCCTCCTTAAAACAAGCTGAGGTACAATCATTTATGTTCAACCTTCATCTCAAACGGTACTACTAAATAACATAGATAAATACTGGGTTAAGAAGGTTTGAGCTCTAAGTTATTGAAAATTTAGCATTAAAAATTTATTTCTTGAGAACAACTAAATTCAAATAAAACTAAAACTATCAGCTAACATTCAACAAGAATAACTGCGTTTTACACTGCAATTTTTTTATTCTCAAAGCATTTAAGAGTCTTTGGCCATTGTGAGTTCTACCAATGGACCTTAATTGGTGGAATTGTTAAAACTTAGATTTTAAATTATTTAGATATATAAATACTAAGATTAAAGAGTCTATTTTATTATTAAAAATGTTTCTTAGATTTTAAAACGGCTTCTAAGTTATAATAGTTGTATTAAAGAAAAAATCATAAAATAGAGTCTTAATAAGTCATAAAAACAAATATTTTAGTTGTTGTAGTATTTTCTTTTAATTTTAAGACTTAATGTTTAGTTCTTAAGACTAATATCTAAACTTGACCTCTATCTACTTGTATAACTTATTCAAAATCTAAAAATGTTAGTCAATAGGTAAAAGAAGCATGAGAAAGAGCCTCATGTCTTTTTATTAATTTATATAGAAAATAGAATTTTTAGTTGATTCTAATTCATTTTATCTCTACAAAAAAATCTTTAAAATAGAAAAAATTATCCTTTAATTGATATAAGCATCATAGATATAGTGCAAGGATTTAAAAAAATTATTTAAAACTTTTTAGGAATTTTTGAAGCATATATTTAAGACCTTAGCAAAAATAATGTTTACCACATTAGAGGGCCGTTATGAAGAATGTAAGGAAGATTTGAAGGCCTTGGAAGGTTTTTAGACTAATTGAGTATAACTAAACACCATGGTAAAGTTACATATAAAAAATAAATGATTTTATTAGTATAAAATAGGAGAATTAGCAACTAATGTAGTAGTTTTAAGTAAAAGAAGGTGAATATGTCCCATATGGATTGTAGCAACTTTAATTTAAATAGGAGTATAAGACTAAGACCTTGTGATTTTTCTATGATATCCATTTATACTACTTAGGAGCCTTAGTGAGGTTCAAATTTTTGATCTTTTAGATATGTTGTCTTTGAAATAAAACATATTTATTTAAATTTTTAATCTTTAATCTTTAATCTTTAATTTTTTATAATTTATTCATAATAATTTAGATTAAACTATATATATATATATATATATAAGTGTGTGTGTGTGTATATATACACATACATAAATATATTTAAATGAATAGAATTAAATATAAGTTAGTAGAATTAAACAATAATAATAATAATAATAATAATAATAATAAGTCAGGTTTAGGGTTTTAAAAAAGGATTGTAATTTATTTTTAAAATTGACTTAGATATTTAGTATCTTTTGATTTATTATGCTTTTAGAAAAAAAAATCTTTGAAATATTTTAGATTTATGAAGTAACTATGAAAGTATTGTGTAATTTGGATATTTGTATTATAAATTTTAAAATGATGAAAAAAGCTTCTACGCATTCTTATTAATTAGTATACATAGAAGAAAAAATAAAAAAATAAATTATATTATTTATATTTTATGTTATATTCTTAATTCTAAAATATTTACTTTTTATATTTAGTAATATCTAATATAATATATTTTTATTTTAATATATATATATATATATATATATATATATTATAGCATTTCTTCTTATTATTATTATAAATAGTTTTTTAATCATTTGCTATTGATGTTAATAAAATATATTATAAATAGAATTCTAAATCCTAAACTCTAAACTAAGTTTCAGGATTTAGAATTTTGGATTACAAGGTGCCTAGTTTTTTAGTATCAATATTTTTAGATTTTAACTTGATATACCCTCTAATTTATGATATTTAGGATTTTAATAGTATAATTATTTTTCTATATATATTCATAATTTAGAAGATATAGCTACTTTGACTTGGACTATAAGATTTTGACTTTTGTCATGTTAGGATTTAAGATTTAGGATTTTAGGATTTAGGATTTAGAGTTTAAGATTTAGGATTTAGAGTTTAAGATTTTAGGATTTAGGGTTTAGGATTACATGTGTATCCCGAAAAAATGGGCATACATTTTTTGGGATTTTTATTTGACCTATCCCTCCATTTTCAAGGATTATGGTTCTAATGGTGCAATTTATTTTACTTATGCTTCTTTCATTTGATAGATATTAATCCTTTAATTTTTGAAGTTAGAATTGACTTTTTTATTAGTAAAGAATTTAAATATTTTGAAGTGATCTACCTCTTCATTTTAGAATATTGTGAATCTATTGATATAATTAGTTTTTCAAAAAATTTATGATTTGGATGATATAGAGGTTTTATAAATGAACTTTAGGATTGATAATTTCTTATATTTTTAGAATTTTGAAATTTAAACTTGACCTACTTCTCTATTTTCAAGGATTGTAATTTCAATCGTATAAAAATATTTACTTATGCTATTTTTCATTTGAAAGATATGAAGGACTTAACTTTTTAGGATTTGGGATTGATTATGGAATCTTAGGATTTAGGGTTTAGGATTACATGTGTGTTTCCAAAAAATGGACATACTTTTTTTGGGATTTTTAATTGATCTACCTTCCCATTTTCAAGAATTGTGGTTTTAATGGTGCAATTAATTTTTACTTATGCTTCTTTCATTTGGTAGATATTGACTCTTTGACTTTTGAAGATAGAGTTGACTTTTTTATTAATAAAAAATTTAAATATTTTGAAGTGACCTATCTTCCTATATTAAAAAATTATAAATCTATTGATATAATTAGTTTTTTCAAAAAATATATGATTTAGATGATATGGAGGTTTTAAAAATAAACTTTAGAATTGGTAATTTTTTATATTTTTAGAATTTTAAAATTTTAACATGACCTAATTACTCTTTTTTTCCATTTTTGAGGATTGTGATTTCAATGGTGTAAAAATATTTGCTTATGTTATTTCTATTTAAAAGATATGAAAGATTTGATTTTTTAGGATTTAGGATTGACTATAGAATCTTAGGGTTTAGGATTTAGGGTTTATAATTACAAGAGTGTCATATAGATTTTTGATCATAAATATCTCATAGTTTATTATAGTTTTGTTAATTTTAAAATTTTGCTAAGATATATAATATCACAAAGATCTATATAAATGCTTTTGTTTCTCAAAATTATGTATTAATTTTTTTGGAATTTAGAATTTAAAAATCCTAATTAGGATTTGGAGTTCCTTAATTAGGAATTTGGATTTTTGATTTGTTAGGATGTAAGATTTGTGCATAGAGTTGATAGAGACGTACCTTAATTATTTTGCCAAGAATGTTATTGTTTCTTAGCTTTACCATCTTGTTAGATTTGGATCTTCTTTTTGTACTTGCTACCTTGTTCTTGCATTCTACTTCACCCTTGCTTTTCAAAACAATGTCTCTTCTTATTATTCTACTAGTTCACTCATTCTAGTGACATGATGTATTATGCTATTTGTATTCAAGCTCTATCTCTATCCTTGCATGCTTACGTGCTTCATTGGAAGTACTTGCTAATCTTCCACATCTTATCCATCTAAACTTGTTGAGTTGCTACTATCACATCAATAATGGTTTTCTGCACCTTCTTATTTATAAGTATTCTAAAATTATAATTTGGATATGTTGACCTTTTTTCCGCAGTACAACCAAGCGCTCAAGAGCCTTACCATGGTATTTGTTGGTACCACTTCCAAGCTAGAATAACTACTATGACTCATGTTGGATGTTACCAATCATTCTTTTAAGTACAATAATATGCACCTCCACCCCCCGTTGTCAGGATAGAGAGAATTTGCCTTAAGAAAGCACTGGGCTCCTGGTTGCTATTAATTCCTCAATCAAGTCTTGAGATAAGAAAGACCAAGTTTATATATATATATATATATATATATATATATAACACTTTTAGGAGCAATTACACCAAATATATAAGTCTTAAGTTCCCAAAACATCCAAAATATGATAAAAAAAAAACTCTAAATCCTTCTATATCCTTGTGAGTTATTTTTCTTGAACTTCAAAA